ACTTAATAGTACCGTTGTGTGGAAAGTGTAATCGGAGTGTGAATATATATACACCCTCAAAACTAATTTTATACAAGCAAGAATAATCAACATTCTACACACATAGTTGTCTTGCGTATTACATACAACGCAGCAATTTTGCACACCACGGCTAGCACGTTCAGAAAAAATCAAGAGCATGTAGCATCGCTGCTCTAACCTATGCTTGAAATTGTAACGAAATATACGAGTATAGCAACTGAAACTTCATAGGCAATTTAATTTTTGAACGTTGCAATTATATATCAAATAACCATCATATATTTGTATTATATCCGAATCTTCAGAGGCGGTGTGCACCAATAATGCGTTGAATTTTATAACATTCTTAAAAAATTTCAAAATACAACAATTAACTCAAATTTAGAGCTTAAAACTTGCACATTCACCGTTCAATCAAATGAAACTACATACATAAAAAATGTCGTGACATTTTCAATTCAAAATATGCCGGTGTTGTTCTGCTTCTACGTTATCGTAAAACTTTGATTAATTAATACTGAGAGAATTATAGGCAAAGCAATCATTCATACTGCAGAACATGTTAACAGATTCCGACACTCGATCACTGAAATTAATATATAGAGCCTATTGCGATTTTTTGCTATGATTTCTTTTCTTTTAGATGAATCCTTCCAGTAAACAAAATTCTTTACTCCATTTCATCTTAATTTAATTAATTGCATCAACAACTTTCATTCATAACATAAATATAATGTGTTAAAACAGAATTATTTGCTATTTTCTGAAATGTATATTTTGCTGTTTAAATTATGCATTGACTCTAGGTGTGATAAGTGTTTTAAACTCTAAACCTAAATTCGAACAATCTCTGTACAGTTTTAAACGAATTATAAAAATGACAACACAGTACACACTAGTGATGATACATATAGTTCACTGTGGAATATTATGGAACGCACTAAGTTAAATCTGTCTGGCTAGTAACATATTATTCAAACGAGTTGTCCATAAAAATTGAATATAACATTAATATACATTAACAATATAAGATTATATCTTGAACGTTGCAATAAGTTTTACGTTATTACGAGTATAATATAATATTTTAACATTAATATTCCCTGTAAACAGTTCGTCTCCAGCAAGAACAAATTGTTATGGCGTGTATACGTAAGTAAACAACGTTACTTATACTATGACAACTATGAAATGAATATTGAACTGAAAATCTGGACTGAGCAAAAAAAGTTTAAGAATAGAGAGTTTTCCTTGCCATGTGAATATGGGCAACTCTGTCGTGGTGGTATAATCTTGATATGTGCATACATTCAAATTTTCAAAGAGTGTTTGTTTTAGTTTTATTCGTTAAAATGTTATTAATAGTATCTTCTCTGACAAGTAAACATTTCTATTAGCACTAGAACGCTAAACCCCAGGGTATTAAGATTGTGTGTTTCCCGCCTCTTCACTCTGTAGCACTGCCCTCTCTTCATATCTCTTAAGCTGCTTTGTGTATCTTTTTTACTGAAAAAAAGAGATATATTTATCAGTGAGGTGATCATTTGTCATGAAACGTACGAATATTTATCGTTACCGGGAAAGGTAGAAAGTAAAGCTACCCCTGTAACAGGCTGTGGTGGCCTATAGGGTTGTGAGACGTCGAGGTTCCCACATTTTCCAGACAGTCGGCTCATAGGTGGCGGTGAGGTTGTCAGCCTTACGCGCCGGCCGCCTTCTACTCCAAGGAAGATTCCTAGTACTTATTCTGTAAGAGACTGAGTCGACCCCAGGGCTATAGCGCTGCTGCAAGGATTAGGTCAACTGAGAGAACTACATCGGGAATCGAACCTGCGACATTCCGGCTCCTCGACAAACTACCACTACTTTAATATATTTATGCTCTTTGCCCTCGGTCAAGTAGGTGTCCTGTACAGAACAGTATGTACGGCCACGTCTGCGAGTAAGACATGACAATACGCGTGTCCGAGTGGGTAACACGAGGTAGGGAAGAGGCGAAGGATGGATGAAGAGTTCTGTGATAGAATGGCAGAGAAAAGACTGAAAAGGCAGTGAATGGACAAAGCATGATATTCGGGGATCGAAATACGTCGATGCTGTTAATAAACTCAAGCGGGTCCGAATCATCAGCCACTCCGTTAACAAGCATTTGAGGAAATAACATTCCAAATAGTCTATCGAACGGGAAAGTAAGTCACACAACCTAATAGTGCCAAAATCTGTCCTTCCAGGAAGGTCTGTTACGGTATGGACGCAGAAGAGATAATTTTTTTGGGGGGGGGGCAGAAAATCTGATTTCAAACTTACATTTAATCTGTTCAAAATTATTTTCATTTGATCACCGTGGAGTGTTTAGGATAGAAGAATAATTTTGAAATTCTTTAAATTATTATTATTATTATTATTTCCTTCTTTTACTCAATTCTGATTTTTTTCCCAAAAGTCCAATAACAGATATCTGGCTTTCTTCCCCCTGCCGGGCCAATGAATGACGAACAAATTTTTTTAAACACATTTTAAGGGCTATGTGTGTAGATCTAGGAGCCGGGATGGCGTAGTCAGTATAGTGACTGGCTACGGGCTGGACGGCCGTGGGGTCCGAGTTCGAGTCCCGGTAGTGTCAAGAATTTTCTCTTCTCCACGTCGTTCAGACTGGCTCTGGGGCCCACCCAAAATCCTATGCACTGGATACCAGGGTCTCTTTACCCGGGGGTAAAGGGGCAGGGGCGTGAATTTGGCTACTCACCTCCAACTAGTGCCGAGGTCAAGAAAATGTGGAACTATACGTCCACTCCCCCATAGACCTTCATGGCGTACTGCTTAATTAGTTAAACACAGAGACAAATTTTACCAATGTGCAGATCTTACGATAATATCATGTCTTGACTCTTGCGTAGGCGAGTGAATTTATTCAGTCATCCGTAGAGAACTGAAAAAACCTATCTGTTTCCATGAAAAGTTTCCAAAAAATAAGTGTGGTTATACTTGATAAATTTGATAAATGAGGCCTAATTTTTATGAGTGTTAATATAATGTCCCTACCAAAGGAGTTTGACATTCTAGTAACAAAATACTGCTGTACGCACTTGCATCTTCTACATGAATGAAGAACTTAAGTTGAAAGCGAGAAACGGCAACAGAAGAAGAGCGGACTAAATTCGAAATTAGATTTTAATGATCCTGTCTTCGCCCCCTCAAACATTGGAATTGTGGGTTGAAATCCAACTCAAGGCATGGATGTCTGTATTTGTTCACTGTTTGTGTTTGCTGGCGGCCTTGCGAGAGGCTGAGCACCCGTCCAAGGGGTACTGCTGACTGTGAAGCGAAAAGATAGCGTTTCACGGATGCCTGTTTTCCAAGTGGGAGCAACGGAAATAGAATGATGATGATAATGATAATGATGATGATGATAATAATAATAATAATGATAATAATAATAATAATAACGTGATCTTTAATAAATAGGATAAAAAGACATTCCATCTGTAGATTATGAAAGACTCAATTATGCCAGAATATGCCGGTCACAGTGGCTCGCTCGAATGCTTGGATCGTGGGTTCGAATCCTATTTAAGGAATGAATGTCTGTGTGCATTTATTCTGTGTTTGTGTTGTCCTGTGTATAGTTAGCGTCCTTTCGACGGGCTGATCACTCGTGCAAGGAGCCCTACCGCCAAACAAAAGTCTGTAGAGCCATTGATGAATGAATGAATAATTACAGAATATGAAGTGTAGAGAATGGATTGATGATATAGAATGTAGACACTGCTTGATGAGCTACAAGCTAGCTGAATCAGGTCAGAAGGTCTGAAATTGTAAGAGAGAAATTTTGGGCGAGAATTTTTTTGTTGTTCGGAAGAATCTTTTTACCAGCAAATTGGACTTAAATTTTAGAAAGAAACTAGTGAAATGCTGCGTTTGGAGCATCGCTTTGTTGATTATATGATGTCAGAAATCAATCCTCTTGGAATAATTCATATACGCATTGCAAGATATTACGACCAGCAACCGGAATAGTAGGAGGTCTCCATTGTTACAATCATCCACAAATAAGTGATGATAATAAAGGCAGAATTCCATACCCTCTAATAACACGTACGTTAGTAGTCTTGTTTGGTGAAAGTCTCGTTGTCTTTCCATTGTTGAGTCCAATCACCTAACGAAGGAAAGAGTTCTTATAGGCCCTAGATGACTATTGTACTAAATACTGCAGGATATTGTGTTCGTAAATATTTTATGCCACGTTCTGTAAAAAAGAAAACACTTCCTTTCGCGAAAGCAGGCGGATAATTTTTAGTTTTACTCCCATGTGCGGATGAACCGAGTTTTCAATGCGGCAGTTGCTTCCAAATCCGACAATTTGCAACAGCGGTGATATGAATCACGATAGAATTGTTTCACTAATAAGCATAAAGTTTTCTTGAAAGTTACGTCTTAAGGCGCAGTTATTGAGGTTATGTGACTCATGAAACTCGTTTCCTAGCAAATTATATTTTTCGACTCACCTGCAAAAGAGAACGCATGTGTGCCATGCAAATATATTTATGGATATAAGAATCATTATCATGTTACGCAGGAGCCGGCATAGCGCAGTCGGTATAGCAACTGCATACGGGCTGGACGACCAAGGGGTCGGGGTTCTAGTCCCGGTAGAATAAACTTTTTTCTCCTCCANGATAATGGGGGCGGGGGGGGGGGGGCTCTTTCCTCGGAGGTAAAGCAGCAGAGCCGTGAAGCTGACCACTCACTCCTGCTAATGCCGAGGTCAAGAAAATGTGGCTCTATACATCCACTGCCCCATGCACCTTCATGATTTAGTGCTTAATTACTTAAGCACAGAGATAAATATTCCTTACCTTATCTATGAGACCCGTGAAACTCGCTTCCTATCCATCCCTCTACCTATGACTCTACAGTCCTTTGTTGGATCATGGCTGCTTTTCAGTTTCTTAATCCCATATATAGTCGGTAGGACTCCTTGGACATGGGATCAGCCCCTTGCAAGTCCGCTACCTACACGCAGAACAACACAAACAGAATAAACGCGCACAGGCTAGCTGACACCGGTGTTATTGTCCCTCTCGTCCACTCAGAGCCCATGTCTTCCCAAACAATTTAAAAGGGAAAACTTTTATGTTCGTGTATTAAACTTGTTGCACTTGATGGACCTGACTGCTAATTCAACTTACAGCACATGCAATCGTGTTTAGCAATTGTCGTCTGTTGTCTTGTTTAAGAAGATAAAGATATCCCATATGGTTGACAAGAGTGATGTAGTGAGGTGATCATAGTAGGTCACGACCGGTCATGACAAAGTAATTCATTCAGTTGATCAGAATGATCAGAATGTCATGAGGAACCACGGGTATTCTGCTGAAAGTGCTTTCTGATGTGATCCGTTATTTGGTGGGAGAAACGTCCGTGAATGGTGCATTTGCATGACAAGTGATTGTTTTGTGTGAAAAGCGAACGTGGAATAATAATTTGATTAAATGTAAGTAACAAAGTCTCTAGTACTCTATTTATTTCGAAAAAGTAATTCGAGTATGTCATACAACAACAGTTTTCCAGCTGAGTGGTAGGGACAGTTTTCAGCACATGGTTTCAGTTATCACCTATTTCTTTGAAGCTCTGTTAAGAACTATATTGAGATAGATTTATTAGATTTTTTAAAATACTTTTTCGCGGTTTGGACCCAGCCCTTCCCTCTTCGTCGTGCAAATTTCTCTTTCCCCTCTGCTTACACCCTTCATACTAGCTCTGATGTGATGTCATGTATTTTTATTACATTTTTTATTTCTTGGAGTAGGGTGGCACAAAGCCGCTTAGGACGACGGCCACTAATTGGCCTATTATACTAGACCTGGATAAATGAATATGAATTGTTTGGTGGAGTGAGGATTGGGCAGGGAAGCCAAAGTATTCAGAGACAACCTGACCAGTACCATTTTGTGCACCATAAATCCCACATGGCCTGACCTGGGATCGAGCCCAGATCACCGCCATGGGAAGCCGGATACTAACTGCCCGAGCAAAGTCATGGGTGATACCATCTAGGTTGGGGAAATCTGTGCGTTTGGAGGTGGCAGTGCAGTGGGAAGAGAAGTTTGGAACTTTGAAATCCCATGGGAGCACAAGGAGCTGGTAGCTTCCCATAGGCTATAGGATGTCACATTCTGTAAATGAGCTCCCCCTCCTACCCAGGAGAAATAGACATTGCATTCAGGTAGATACAATGCATCCACTAATAAGACTTTTACCCTTATTTTATTCATATCAACACACAGATAGCCCAAATGAGGTTTACACTTCTTTAAATAATTTTGTTGATAAATATATCTCAGATGCAGTAGATGAATTTCATACATTTCTCAGGTGAATGTTCTGCTCAAAGCTGTATTCATAGAATTGTGTGTTTTTTATCAACTTTGGAATCTGCTGGATGATTTTTATCATTATTTTTGAGTAAGAGGTCATTCCTTATTTACTTCTGATTGTGAATTTATTATACTGAAAGGCAAAATGAGAAGACAGCATAGGATTTACACTTGGGAGAAATACATCACTTTTACTGACGTATACTGATAAACTTAGTATAGAATGTGGAGAAACAGAAGCAGATTGCTGATTGTAAGGAATGTGGTCATATTTCTATAAAATAACCTGTTTTGTTATGCAGGAATCATGGAAAGTTTGTTTAAAGAAATTGTAAGTTTATGTCGAAAGTTTGTGTTTTTGATTTTGTTTCTCCTGTAAAAATTATACACGTATTTCACAATGCACATACAGTAAAGTTGTCCCTGTGCATAACTAATTAATCACTACAACTAGCTGGTTCAATTAAGAAGTATATCTGATAAGAAAACACAATAGATCATTGATGGTCACAGTGCAAGGGCCAGATGATTATGGCTCACCCCTCATACATTCATTCATTCATGTTTGATATGATGTGATTTTATTTTCTATATTAATCATGGAATGTTAATGTGTATGTGTAAACAGAAACTGTCACATAGCAACAAATTGCAAGTGTAGATAATTTTTAATGCTGCGTATTGATGTAAAAGATTGTGTATAAAGTTCTTACGAACCTGTACCAACTGGAATAATCCTATGTCATCAGTTGAAATAACATTATATGTCTTATGCTAGAAGGATTGGTTTAGTTCAAGGTGTCATCCTGGCATTCACAAAAGAAATTAAAAAAAACATAAAAATTTTCAGAAAACTATTCCAGAATAGAACTGCATATTTCTAAAAAAAGAAATTAAAAAAAATCTTCTACTTTAATGACTAAGTAGCCTGGTTGATATGTGTGTGTCAACATTATGTTCTGCAGTGTCTTAACATGATTCAAAGCTTAAAGACTAAATATAACACATCTTATACAACTTATTTACGAAAACATTCCTCTGTTTTTTTAAATAAAATCCTTGTATTCAGTTCATGTTGTTCTGAAGAAAACAAGTACATAAGCATCTGTCTACACAAACGAGTTATGCCTTTGAACTGCATTCCACAAGATGTGCTTCGCTGCATTAAAACACTGGAGTGTTTCCATAACGACATAATATGATTTACTGTAATCTCCCCAGTGTGACTTGGGTTGTTGTAACAGTATATCTAAATGACACTTATTATTCTTTACAACTGCAAGTGATTAAGATATGAAAATTTAAAATTAAATGGTAAAATGGGTATATCTTCAGAACACAGGATCAGTAATGTTAGGACTAAGGTATAAAAAAGGTAAAGCTCTCCCTGTAACAGGCTGTAGAGGCCCACTGGGTTGTGAGATTTGAGGTTGCCACATTTTCTAGACAACTGGCTTACAGATGGTAGATTGTCAGCCTTTTACATCCATGAAGATTCCTGGTACTCATTTCGGTTAGAGGCTGAGTCATCCTCAGGGTCATAATGTGGTTGGAAGGATTAGATCAATTGAAAAATCCAGTGACCCCATTGGGAATGGAACCTGCAACCTTCCAACTTGTAGTATAGTGCCTCAACCAACTATGCTACCATGTGCCCCAGTTATGTTAGGATTAGTTATCTTAAATAAAACCCAAATTCATTTTCATGTTAGAGGAATTCTGTAGGTTAGAATACTATAAATAAACCTCAGATTCAGCAACATGTGTGATCACTGTGTTGTAAAGTTATAACAAGTTCTTGTTTCAAAATATCTTAGTCCCTGCAACCCACATGATATTTGTACAGATTTCAGGTAGTTTTCACAAATATAGGTCTGATATGACATCGATTTACTTTGAATAAAGAATTTTGTCTTCTTTACCAATGATACAATTTCTTGCAAAAAGAAGACCTTCCACTTATATGACCTTACAGAAGTTTGCACTCTAAATTCTTCTGGAATGTGCTGATTTCAAAGTTATGATTTCATTAATACTATAGTGAGGGTAATGACACTGGGAAATAAAATTTGAGTTGTGAGTCCCAAAAATTGTTTCCCATGAGAGGAGGTGTGGAGGTGACCATATGAACAAGTGTTCACCAAGCTTAGTTCTCAAAATTTTTGTACACTAAACACAACAAACAAGTTTGAAGATGTAATGTAACATAGATCAGCTCTTTTCATATTTTTGATACAAGGTTGATCCATTGCATATCAACTTCTATTTTGTGCCCTTTAGTAGCAACAGTTTGAAATGTTACTTATCATAGATTAGTAATATATATTTCAAATTCTTAATATAGATAATGTACAATAGGTCTAATGTAATTTTATGAGTTATTTGTTAAATTTAATATTCCTTTTCAATAACATTAACATAATATTTAAGATGTGCCACACAGGTACCCACACCTCAGAAACTGATTCTATATCCTTGCATCTGTAGGCAGGAGAGACAGGGAAGGTCAACACAGATCAAATCTGGAGTCACTAGACAAATGTTAGAACTAGTATGCATAAACCTATCACAACAAGATGTTGGGTTGTCTCATCTTAACAGTAAGACAAGCTTCAGTCTGTAGTTAATATAGGGTGGTTATTATTGTCCTTCGTTCAGCCAGTGGGTTGATATGCACTCCAAAATATTTAGGCCACACAACTGCAGTTTATTTTAATGCAGCACACAGTAAATATTAGGGAAAGTCAATTAATTTCGTCCAGTGTCCAGTAATTCATATAAATTATAAAATGTGATTATACCTCAGAGTAATAAAACCATCAAATACAGCATTTCTTAAATTTCACTATATTTATTATTTAAGCAGTTTGCACCTTACATGTTTCAGCCATGTACATTTTCGATCTTCAGGGGAATATCACCTTTGTATAAAAATTTCTTGTTTATTACTAACATTGTCTTTTTCCGCGCCATAGCTCAAGCGGTTAGTTGCTGGCTTCCCATCGCGGCGGCCCGGGTTCGATCCCGGGTCTGGTCAAGTGGGATTTGTGGTGGACAAAGTGGCACTGGGGCAGGTTTTCTCCGAATACTTCGGTTTCCCCTGCCAATCTTCATTCCACCAATTGCTCCACAATCACCCTCACCTATCATCTGGAGCTGGTACAACAGGCCAGAAGTGGCCGCAGTACAAGGGACTTAGTCCCACCCCACTAACAATAAAATAAAAACATTGTGTTTTAATTCTTATTTATATTGCACAATTTATGTTTCTAGTTATACAATATCATACAATGATTTGTGACATGTGAAGGAGTGGAAAGAGGGAGAGAGTATTATTAACGAACTCCATGGGGCTAGCAGTAGCATACAATTTGTATGTATTATTAAATGTACTGTAATAAAGCTGCACTTAACTTTTGATGCCTTTCTTGATAATATGGCATGCTTCAGAAGATGGCAAATACAGCTGAAGCATGTAAGGTGAAGAATGAGTTTAATTACAGATATATTTAATTTCATTAAATGCTGGATTTTGTTTTATTCTTTTGGCACATAATTGATAAATGTCATGATGTCATTATGTAATGTCATAAGACATTATTAAATTTAGATTGAATAATAAAGAGTTCCATCCAGTGTACGCTATGGCAAAAATTATTAGAATTATTAAATCAATTAGCTTATATTGGTTGGGTGTGTAGCATGCAGGAAAGTGAAACTGAATGAATAACTCTCTTGTGCAGGGTCTTTTGCATTGTGGCCAAAGACATTTAGTGTTTAAAGAAATTTCTTGCTGTTCACATTCTCACTACCTGTTCCTTAAAATTTTAATATTATCTTAACATTTACAACTTACAGCTGCATAATAGCTTTTCCTACAAGCTTACCAATCAGTAGTTTGAATCCCATTGGCAGCATATTTTTAGTGACTAGATCCAGTGTTTGCACAGAATGTAATTTGTATAAAATGACTTATTCTTCAATGGCTATGAGGTTGTACATACTCATTCCACAACTTTTCCTTCCACATTAACTACAGCATTGCCATTTCTTATATATATAAACTTTTTGTACAGTGACTGCTTTGAAGTCCTGTTACACATTCACTAAGGTTATTTGTTTATTTTCTTGTTCTATTTCTCTTTCCTCTTTGTTTTTTTCAATATCATTGACACTGTGGCGCTTCTATGGTGTCTTAGGCTCTTCTCTTTTTTATGTTGTCATATCAAGCATGTCCATCTTATTCGTGATCTAAATCGAAGGTACACAGCATGTGGCACAAAAAACAGTGCAATATACTGTATAACACAAGAATATTAACTCAAGAAACACGTATATTAGATTGACAGTCTTAAATAAAAAACACAACAGCAACAAGATGTACACACTAGTGCAGATTGTTTTCCCAGTATTAGATGCAATGGGTTCTACATATTTTTGTTACATGTCAGTTGCAATCTTGCATCCATGAATGCTGGTGGTGAGTGAAACTGTTGCAAAGAGTAGAAATCTGCTCAGTTTCTTCTTCTGGGCTCATATGGTGATAAATTTATGCAACTCGTGATTACAGAAAGCTCACTCATATATAAGACTACTTTTTTGTTAAAGATATGTCGCTCTTTATTTGTGTATGTTATTCGGATATTAGATTGAGGAGCATGAGATTGATACAACACATAACACACATCAGAGAGATGCGAAATCACAAGTTTCATTTAAAATGTCTGAGGGGAAGACACCACTTGGGAAACATAGCCATAGATGGGAGGATAATATTAAAATGGGTCTGTAAGAAAAAGTGTGAGATGTGTGGACAAGGCTCATGTGGCTCATGATATGGTTAGTAGTCAGTGATTGTGCACATAACAATGAATATCTTGGTGGCATAGAATGGAGGGGGGATTTCAAGACCAGCTGAGCGACTGTTAGTTTTTCAAGAAGGAGTCTAATCTTTGGAGCTAGTAAGTAAATTAGTTACTTAGCAAGCGTTAACACAATGTTGTCCATGTCTCATCAGTTCATGTGCATGCTATTGCAAATATGTGTCATTACTGCACACTCATGTGTGTTAGTTGCATTGTTATTTCACCTCCACTGATGTCATCTGCCACATGTTCTGTATGTTGGGTGTAGATCCTCCATTGCTTTTATGTTTCAGCCATATTCCAGCATATAATGAATACAGAAGTTAGAGAGAATGATAACTGACTGTTACCAGTAGACTCTAAAGTGTGAACAATTTTTCATCTGAAGTTATTTTTGAAAGGCTGTTTGGCAATGGAGCAATTCATTTTATAAATTCTATATTTCAATTTTTACATTGATCTCCCTGATCTTATTATAGTGTAGCTATGGTTTATATGAATGTCATGATTTTTAAATACACTGTGTCAGCTTTTAGGAAATTACTGCAATGCCAGGTGGAACACGATATTTTGGAACAGTAAGACTAGAGTTGAAAGTAGTTAAGACGAGGGACACAGTGTTGTGAGTGCAGACCTAACCTAACCTGAAAATGCTGTATTAAATGCATTGTTGTCTAGGACAAGTTGTTAAGCAAAACATATTTAAGAATAACTGAAAATGAACATTTAAATATATTTTTCAGGCAATACATAACACCAATTAAACTGTCTAATTAACTAGTTGCAATGACTTATCTGTACAGGAATTTCAAGATACCTTCATGAAAATGGAACAAAATTGTAAGAGACATGATGATGTCTAAAATCAGAAGAATAATCCAAAAAGTTAAACTTTTCATGGTTAATTGTTATCTATAAATATGCTGAGTATATGAATTACATGCGGTACAGAAAACTAACCATGCTACTTAGGCCAGATGGGAGTTCTAGCAAATCATGCCCTATTGGGTTGGAAACTGTTAGTTTTAGCCATTTACACCTGCCAAATATTGGTTTTATTAAAAAAATTGGACACATTTTTCATTATAGGTTCTTACTAAATGACAGTCTTATAATTTACCTATTGTGCCATCATCATTGGTACAGTAAGGGGTAACACAGATACTGTATGATTGCCAGTGTGCTATTTAAAAGCATGTTCAAAATAGATCATTGTTTGCATAAGTAAGGGACCTAAGGAAGAAACCTTCATAATTCTTTTAATTGAACCATTATAATCTTAGATGGTTTTGTGGCATTATTAGTAAATGCAAATCAGATACAGTGGGAACAACAGTTTCGTTATCAGTTCCATCTGTAATTTTATTCCCTTAAGTGCATGCAGGATTCAGAATGAAAGATTATAAATGCAATGAAAATATCAAAGAATGACTGGGAATAACAGGGTCAGTCCATTAATAAAAAAATACCAAAAGGTGCGCCTGCAGCATTTGGACAGAAAGCTTGAAAACCGAATCACAGAGATTGTGTGTTTATACACAAAGAATAAAATCATGCCAGCAGGAAAACAGAAGAGACATCCATAATTCCTGTAACGGGAAGAGATAAAGTACTTAATCCATAATACTGATGATGAGGGTAATGATGATGATTTATAATTTTTCCATTAAAGCAGTGATATTGCCAAATTTATATTCTAATGGCCAGATAATAGTCGCTGCGAAGAGTAGCCAAAACAGGAGATGCAGAAAGCACAGCCTCCAAAGAAAGGGAATGGGGGTGCACCGTTAGGCTATTCAGGACGAACAGCCTTATGGAAGGAGCAGTGTGACGTGTTGCGCTATGTTGGACACCCCCCTCCCTCCCCAGCGGTGACGTAACACGGGATGCCACCATTGGTACTCACCAGTAAACAACTCCTGACAGCGTTGCTAGGCTGTCGGCAAACACGGTGTCAGACAACAGTGGTGCCTATTATGTAACTGTTTTCTGTGTTGTCCGTAATGGGGCTAAATAAGGAGCAGCGAAGACTACTCAAGTTAGTTACGAGTTGGCCAGGGAAGAGCATTTGCAGTCTACTATTTGTGATACTGCCGATGGCATTAATTGTGAGATTGTAAACTGTGTGATTGTAAGAGCAAATGTGCAATAAATTCGCTATATCCAATACGGCGTGAAGTTATTTGTCGCTTTATACACCCAACACATGACAATATCTACAGTGAAAATGTATTTCTCTGCTTTTATAGTATTCCTTATGAAACTCAAGTTGAAGTCATTGCTATTTTATAGTATTTACGTTCCAATAATTATTTCACTGATGACAGTGCCTTACTATAGAGTTTATGGGAAATAGAAAATGTAGGCATTATCAGATTTCATTGCACACTTTGTATGTATTATTGCATACTATGCAGGTTTATCAGATTTCATTGCACACTCTTGTATGTATTATTGCATAATATGCAGGTTTATCAATTTACTTGATTTTCTGTGAATTACCACCAAAAACTTCATGTTATACTCTTAACTAGCTAATATTTTCCTGGAATTATTTGTTTGACTTATCTTTAACACCTGATATTTTAGACATAGATATTGAATATTATTCTGCTAAATGTTGAATATTACACTGCTCAATCCCATATGTCTTTTGCACATTTGACCATTTTTCTTGCTACACCAGTAGAAGGTTAAATGTCCTATTACATACTCATAATTCTAAAATATTATATATAAACGACGTTTAATGTAGCTGATGTAACAGCATCAGCATGAAGAGAAACCGTGTATTGCAACAGATCACTAATAACACTTGCCTCTGTCTAATGTTAAGATCCAGAATGTGTGGTATTTTACTTCCATCCATCCTACATACTTTCAAGGTTTAATGTGTAGGCACAAGGACAACTTTAGCTTTAACTGGAATGACAAAACCCTGTACAGCAAACTCTTTGCTGCACTCGATTTCCTTGGCATATCACGTGCCTTCACAATCTGTATCATTTCCTTCCAGTTCAGTGGAACTTAGAGACTCTTAACATATGCATGCAATACTTTTCCACATTTATATCTTCATGTACATAAACAAAAATTATACTGTATTTGCTGCATGTCATTTGATATTGCAAAATAAATTTTGAAAGTGAGGTAAAATTACACGTTTTCAACAAGATCTACAGTCTACAGCTGTAAAGAATCAGTGTCAAGATTGCCCAAACTGATCAGCTTCAGCCATTCAAGTATTTATTTTCAGAATGTATTGGAAGTAGAGGTTATGTTTGAGTAATAGCTAACCAAAATTAAATTTACCTGAAGACTTTTAGTATAGACCATCTGTACTGAGTTAATCAAAATCCATTCATTAGCTTTGGAGTTGTATTTGTGTTCTTTGTGCAAGGAGCAAGTAATAATGAATTAAGAAGAAAACAGTTGTGGGATATTTTAAGATACTACCACAACATTACATTCAGAGGCTGAGGAAAAATAAGAATAATCTTAGTGAAACTAACCTCCCAAATGCAAAGCAAGTGCATCCAGTGTTAGGGATGTGGTCTGTATTGTGGTCAGGTTTAGTTTTGGTCAGTATGTCAATTTGATTGTAATACCCAAGGAAACCGAATCCATATAAGTACAATCAAAAGAAGAGCAGCAGTGGTTGGGTGTATCCTTTCAGTATCAGTGCTTAATAATCACCTTTGCCTGTTATTTTGAACATTGATGGCCCTACATGGTCTGTTAAACGTCTTCTGCTTCACTTTCAAATTGTGCTTCCATAGATCTCTTTGTGTCCTTTGGAATCACACAGTGTCCTCATATAATGCTCCATGTTCCATGTTTTGCCATACTTTGAGAATACTTGCTGCTGAAAGAACTGAAGCCTTGTATTCATAAGAAATTGGTATCTTGCTTCTTAAGAAGACAGTTCATTCAAATGAGACATTCAGAACCAAATTTTGCTTAATAATGTAAGGGTTTTCTCTAATATTTTCTCTTTTAGAAGGAATGTAGGAAAGTATGAGTCATTACATAGTCAGCTTAATAGTATATTCTGAATACCAGTTTAAATATGTTTCTGGGTTCTCAGAGCTTAATGAATTTTGTCCCCTCCATTATATTGTACTTCATACCCTCATACCCCTTCATTTCAAATATTGCTGAAAAACACACAGCAAGCACTCATATGTCAGTTATAAATAATTTAAATTGAAAAGTCCCTTTTTAATTTTTACTGTACAAAGGGGACAGTTACTAAGCAGTGCTGAGGTATTTAATTAATGTTATTAAATTTTCAGTGTCACTGAAAAGCAATGATTCACAGTGGGCCCTTGGTTTACGACAGTTTGATGTATGCCAATTAGGATACTTGTACCTGTCAGTTCAAAAATTTTATATTAATTTCCTTTGTGTTCCCCCCAATTTCTGGAAAATTATATACTGTGCTCCTGCTACCAAGGACGGTCCTTGCTCAGGAACAGGAAGAATAAAAAGAGCCTGTTTTGTGTTCTGTAGAAAGCCATGATCTGCTGGGTGTTGATAGGTGCCTGCAGACATTAGGCAACAGTGGTCCTGACTGGGAACAGAGCTCTTCTGTTAGATGAGGAGTCAATGCAGTGTTGTAGCATTGCTGCCATGTTCTGCAGGAGAGGAGGCATGAAGCAAGGCAGCCAACCTTGCTGAGCAGCCTTCAATTAATTCAGATATGGCAGAAGATGATCCACTTGACCCTCACAGTCTACAGCCAGGGCATTCCTCTCATCAGTAACGCCCACACATAATTATATTTTACTGCAGAACAAATGTGATATGAATGGGAGCATATAGTGTTTGTTTGTAAAATATATAAATGTTTTGTATTATTTTGTGAAAGAAGTCTAAACTTTTCTATACTTGTAATGCATCCCATTGAAATATGTATAATAATTAGGCTTTCATCTATGTCAATTCAATACATGCCGGCATCTCCAGGAACACAACCCTGGCATAAAATGAGGGTCTACAGTACATTCATTTTCATTAAAAAATGTGAGAAAAGAGCACCAGAAAAAACTAAAGACATGATGGAAAGGTCTGAGTTCAGTTTGCTCCTAAGAAAATAACTGATAATCCCTTTATTAGCAACTGCTCTCATGAAACGAAAGACTTCGGTTCTCCCAGCAGTCTGAAAACTCATGTAACGCAACAGAGAAGCCTCTTCTTTACCTATGAAGTAGCAATGGTGGTCATCTAGTCATAGTTCTCAGACTCCTGCTGAACGAGTTTGAATCTCCGTGGGCTTTTGACGCACATGGAGCCACAGTGTCCGTCCAGTGACAGGTGGCCTTTCATGCTCAAGTACCGCTTGATGTAACGGGAGACAAGGCTGCAGGGTCTCTGCTGCCACTCATCCAGTACTTCCTTAGGTGCCAGCACCTACAATACCAATATGCTTTAGTAACTGTGGGAGTGACACCAATCAAACAGCTAAAAAATCTTTGTTCCCTTCATGTGTTGGTAAATTTATAGAGTGTACCACTGTTCACAACTTTATTGAAACATGTTCATGCAGTGTGGTTAATCTGTATATCTGAAGAGTTCTAACTTCTGGGATATAATGCCATATAGTCTAGTGAAAATCAATGTACGTTTTGGGGGAACATATTGCCTCCATTTTCAGAGTTAAAATGTAAGACAAGCAAGAAACCACCATGAAGCAAGCAGAAAGCAGAGCCCTGTCTGCATCATGCTGGTTTGACTTACGCTTGGACCACGAAGATAGAGGCAATGGGTTTCATTGAAATGTAGCTTGTTTTTTGCCGAACTACATGACGTTGTATCCTGGAAGATAGAAATCTTCACAGCTATCGCTGTGAGAACCTCTGTTCCAACAATCTATGGATCTGTTTGGCTGTCTGGATAAAGAATGAGAAATCAAAATCAGATTCACAAGAAAATTAAGGCCACCTCAAATCTGGGGAGTGATGGTTGCATTTTAGTTCAGAATCTTTTATACATACATACATACATAGCATTCCATAGATCCATGAGTTAGTCTACCGGATGTGGAATTTGTCAAAAATCATACAATACATATATACATGCACAATTCAATTTCACATAAATAGTAAGGATTTCACAAAAGTAGTAAAATATCCATCATAAATCCATACATTAACATATACTAGATTTTTTTTTTCTTTTTCCTGTGTTCCAAACAAGAGAAAACATTACATACACTTTATGTTGTTTGGAAGCATAAATTCCTCAACAGAGTAAAAGGAGTGTGTAATTAAGTATCTCTTTAGTGCTACTTTAAATTGTCCCTGTTTATCTATAAGAGTTGTGGTTGAAGATTTTAATGCCAGTATAATATGCACTCTTCTGGAAACAAGAGAGGCTGGCAACTGGTCTGTGAAGCTGATTTTTATTCCTTGTGTTGACATTATGTATTGTAGAATTGGTTGGAAAAAATTCTTGGTTTTTTACAATGAAGATCATTAAGGAGAATATGTATTCACATGGGAGAGTTAAGATCTCTAGCCTCTTGAAGATATTTTTACATGATTCTCTTGGTTTAACACCAGCCATTATTCTAACAATTTTCTTTTGTAAGATGAATATCTTCTGGCTGTAAGATGAGTTACCCCAAAAAATTATTCCGTACTTCATTACAGAATGAAAATAGGCAAAATAAATCAATTTGAGAGTCTCAGTATTGCTGACATGAAACATGCTTCTAACTGCGTAGCATGCTCCACTTAACTTAGGGATCAATTTATCTATATGGTTCGACCAACTTAGGTGGCTATCAATTTGCAAGCCAAGGAATTTCGTATTTACTGTCTCTTCTATATATTTTCCATTATATCCAATATTTAAAACATAGGGAGGGGCATTATTTGTTGTAAATTTCATTACATTTGTTTTGTTTAAATTTAGGGCAAGTCTGTTAGCATTGAACCATTTATTCATGTGGGAGAGTACTCTGTTTGATATTGCACAGAAATCATCAAACATTTTACTAGAGATTATAACACTTGTATCATCAGCAAATATTATGGGTTCTGATGAAAAATTTATTGTTGGTGGAAGGTCATTTATATATATTATGAAAAGCAAGGGTCCCAGGACAGATCCTTGGGGAACTCCATGCTTTACTGTTCTCCAGTTTGAGAAAAAATTTTGAGTATATTTGGGTGATTTTATCTCAACCTTTTGTTTTCTATTTGTTAGATAGGATTTGAACCATTTTAACACTGTTCCTCGAATGCCATAAAATTGCAGCTTACTTAACAAAATTTCATGATTTACACAGTCAAAAGCCTTTGCCAGATCACAGAAAATTCCTCCTACATGCCTTTTTTGGTCAATTGATTTTAAAACATTGTCTGTTAGCTTGAATGCTGCATCTTCAGTGGATACACCCTTCCTAAAGCCATACTGTTCTGGGACCAATATGTTGTTACAATGCATATGCTGATTTATCCTGCTGTACATGACCTTTTGTCTTCTCGTCCCTTTCCCTAAGTCATTAAGATTAAAATATTCAAAACTGCCATTTCATCTATCACTTTATATCAGTATAAAGCTGGAATTCTGACCAGTGGTGGCTTGCAAAATAATGACTTGGGGCAGCACTCCATATAAGGTATTAACTGAAGCGCTGTTGTCCTTTAGATATGTTGAAAATATATAAGCCATTACATATTCATGAATATGATACAGAAATAACTTATGAGGAGTCATTTTCAGATTGTGTTTCTAATTTAAGGTTTCCAACATCAACACAAAGGAGAGGAAGAAAACGATTTCAGTTGCTGTCTTGTAGTTGTGCTGTTCTCTAAATTGAAAAGATGAGAAAGAGGTGTCAGAATAACGGAAGAAATAACATTCTGCTAGTCATGTAAGTAGATATCTAATATATTTCCATAAATTTGTAAAAGGGTTTTTCTACTTTTCATTAAGAACTGTATTAACATTCGTAAATAAAATGTGGGATAACAAGGAGTACAGAGGCAGGCTGCAGGCTGGATGGCCAGAATGAGATTCTCATCAGAGAAGAGGCTTTTCTCTGCTTCACAGCGTGCAGACTGGCTCTGGGGCCCACCCAGCCAGCTATTGAAAGCTATCACCCAGCCACCTGTTCTTTCACCAGGGAAAAAGTGGCTGGGGTGTGAAGCTGACCGCTCACCTCCGTCTAGTTCCAAGGTCAAGAATGGTGGAGTTACACCCCTCTCCCCCATATGTATTTGTATAATGGTGTTTAATTAAGCATGTGGACAAATTTACATTTTCCTTTGTTGATATTCACAAACATATTGTGATAACAGTTTTGCAAAAACTGCACGTAGAATTTTTCTATTGTTAAGTGTCCTACTTAAATGTTGTTAGTACTAACGTTGATTTCATGGAAACTGGAGCCACAGATACCAGCATTTAACAGGTAGTAAAATATTCTAGAATTTGGAAATTTTACTTTGCATTTTGATGAGAAGAGTGAGATAAGAGACCCCATTTTCTTTGAACTTAAAGGAAGAACATTGATAGAAAATGCCTGGGAACAGTACGATAGGTGGAATAATACTTGTGACTAAAGAGAATAGAGAGAGTACTGGTATTAATCTCGTAATTCTGCTTGTCTTTGTCTGGTATATTTATGAGGGCAAACCAAAACAACGGTTAACACCATATCTACATGGTGCCGCACCCCAGAAGACTGCTTTCTTTACAAAACTCGTTTGAAGAACATTTTCCACTGAGCAATAAAGACAAAAACTGGCTGAGAAAGCATTTCATTGGTTCATTCCAGACAAAAGATTTCTCTATGAATGAACCTGAAGAGTTGATAAATTTTGCGAGTAATTCAGTTTTAAAGTAAAATTTCACAATATTTCTGTTCTAGTTTTTGGGCCTGGTTAACTGATTAGTATTGTGAGGTCTCAAAGCATGCTGTCAGAAAACTGCCACCACTTCCAACCACTTATCTATGTCAGCAGGGATTTTCGCAACAAAAAGTAAATATAGGAACAAGCTAGACATTGAGGCCGACATGAGATTGCAATTGTCACCTGTTTTATCAGATTTAAAATTGTTGTGTTCACAAAAACAGCCTCACTCATCACAATGAGAAACTCACACATAATAATGTACACAGTTTCATAAGCACAATAGACCACTGTAGGTCGCGGTGCAAGGGCCGAGAAGGCCTACCCCTTATACATTCATTCATACACAGTTTCATTGATTGATTAATGCAATAGTTACGTTTTAATGTTACTTTATTAGCATACAAACAAAGAGAAACCATAGGCCTATGGTGTACATTCCTGTTTCTTTTACTTACATGTATATTACAGATTTTGAAACATCGATATTCAGATGAATATTTAAGCTTGAAAACGGGTTCAACTGACAGAAAGACTGAAAAGCGCTGCTCTCATACTTTCCACATATAACGAGGATGATTCAAACTCCAGTGTACTTGATGAGCGACAGTTATGATCTGTATTGTAACTAGCCATCTATTTTAGTATCTTTAAACAATGGAATGAAGTTTTCTGAGGCTTTGTGATGCTGTTAAATGTAGGGGGATAAGAAGGAAAGTACTGTACACGTAATACCAACCTGATCTCCCTTTAGCCTGTCCATGAGTGTGACACATATGACAGCTGACTTGATACCCGCATGATGTGTAAGTGCTGCAAAAGATAAGGACTCCATTTCGATGTTGACAACTCCTGCCTTGTGGATTCTGTTAAGATACTGCATTTTGTCTGACTCTGTGAAGTCACAGAATGCACCATCTAGCCGTCCTTGACCTGAAACATTGCAATAGCTTAGAAAAATGCAATGTTTCTCTGTACTACTTACAATTGAATACATTTCTCTTACCCCTTTTGTAAAAGAACAGATTACATCCGAGGATGCTGTAGTCGGTCCCAAGGCCTCTATCCAGTTTGTGTCTCTCAAGACTTGACATTCTCATTTTTACTGTCCACCGGGGAGGTGCCTGATAGATTGGTTTTGGTTCTCTCCCTTCACAAAGCCGCAGTAAAGCCATAACAAAGACTATGGGATGTGGAGACGTGTCTGGCCTAAACAGCTTGTCGCTTCCGTCTACTGATTTCTTGCTTGGCTTACTCATCGACCCTAAAGAGTGAGGCGATGTGTTCCTCCTAAACGTCGGGTTCTCAAGCAGCTGCTTGTACCGGTTCTCACGGTCTCTTCGCTTGCGGATTTCTTATTTTTTCTTCTACCCTGAAGATGGAGGCGATACGTTCCTCCGAAACGCCACATCTACACGGTGCCACATCCCAGAAGACTGATTTCTTCATAGTCACCGCCGTGAAAACCTCAAATCTTACAGTCTCTTCCTGTTTGTGAAGCTGAGAAATGCAAGGGACCTGTGCAAATTGTTGTGCAAATTTCTTCCAGAGAAGGGCGCGTGTAGAAGGAGGAGTGTGTTAGTGTATCTAAAGTCAAGTCAGGGAAGATCGAGGATAAGATAAGAGTTTGCTTTGAGACATTTTTGTCTACACCCTGAGGTGAAGAAGAAGAAGCGTGATAATATTCGTCATAAAATACAATATAAAACTACAACCGAGAAAAAATAAAGAATAAAGAAAAAAGTAAGTAAGAAAAGGTATCCGTCACAAGAATATGACTTCAGTCTTGCTCCAGATTGTTTATTTATTCAAACTTTATGCTACTGAGCTTCACAGTTCTAACAGTTGTCGTTCTTAGTTGTGCGTATATCAGCAGTGTAGCTGTAACGCTCTTCTGATGCTTTTAGTGTTGGAGTTGGTAGCGATGATGAGGCTTGGGGACGTAAGATACACTGGTATAGGGGAGCTTCATCTCTTTAAGCTGCGTTCGTGCACTCAGAAATGACCCTGTAATAGTGGTTCTTCTAGCAGATAGTTTTATCAAATTCTTTATTAAAATACACGTGCTAAATCTGACTTTGCGTCTAAGTGCAACGTCCGTTAATATTCTCTCGTCATTTTCTCTTTAATCCGAAGTTACTACCTAAGAAGGTCCTCGCCATAGCTCAAGCTCGCTGGCTTCCCACCGTGGCGGCCTGGGTTCGATCCCGGGTCTGACCAAGTGGGGTTTGTAGTGGACCAAGTGGCGCTGGGGCAGGTTTTCTCCGAGTACTTCGGTTTCTCGTGCCAATCTTCATTCCACCAAATTCTCCATCATCATAATCGCCTGGAGCAGGCTACAATAGGCCAATCAGTGGCCGCCGTGCCGAGTGGACCCAGTTGGACTCCACCCACCACTAAGCGTATTAAAAAAACTACATAAGAAAAGCAGATCAACATTACAGTGAGCAGCATATTGCTTCATCACAACAACCAGTACACCTGACAACGTACTGTTAAATTATATAAACATTACTGTTCTCTTGGATGTTATACCGCCTAGTTTGTTACATAGATGCCAGCGTTCTGGAGGAACATGTTGCCTCCCTCTTCATGGTAGCTCTGAAAATGAAGTCTGTGTGTTACACCGAAATTTTGGGAACTGTTTACAAATCTACACGGTAACACATCCAAAAGGCGGCAATCTGCATAGTCAACGACCAAGAGATCTTCACATACCTCTTATTGAACATCATATTAATTTCTTTTTCGCAGTTTCTTCAGTGCTAAGTATAATTAAATCAAGGACTTTGAAGTGGACCCGACACGTATCTCAGAAGGGGAAATGAGAAATCGGTACACAATTCAAGCAAGAAATCTTGTAAAGTAACCAAGTGGTACAATGAGTATGATATGGAAGGGTGATACTGTAACTGAACGTATGGACGTTGTTTGGGAGAATATAGACAGAATTGAACTGACTTGAAATTGAGTCCTATGGCAGACGTCGGGTTTAGAGGAGCTGGAATCTTCAATTTGCTAGATGGAACCCTAATTTATGGAAGATTCTGCATTCTTAATGGATCAGTTACCTTCGTAGAAGTCATAGGTGCACATGGTTTTGCCAGTGACAGTTTCGTATGGGTCATCAGGCTCCGACAAGGCTCGCAGTTCTCGTGCCAACTTCTTGTCCAGTTTTGCAGGTCGCTTCACCAGTTTACCCAGTACTGACTGAAACATACGTATCTCATGTAGAATGTATCGTGACTAATTGTGGCTCATGTGTAACGTACTGCAAATAGATGCATATTCTGTATAATATATCACATTTAGATACAACCTCTGTATGATGCACAAGGAACCTGGGGTGGCTTAGTCGGTATAACGACTGGATACAGGCTGGATGACTGAGAGCCTGGTAGGGTCAAGATTTTTCTCTTCTCCATATCGTCCAGACCGGCTCTGGGGTTCACCCAACCTCCTATCCAATGGGTACTGGGGGTTCTTTCCTCGGGGGTAAAGCTGCCGGGGCGTGAAGCTGAGCACTCACCTCCAGCTAGTGGCGCGGTCAAGAAAGTGTGGATCTATGCATCCACTTTCCCATACACCTTCATGGCGTAGTGCTTAGTTTGCTGAGCACAGGGACAACTTTACGTTTTACCTTACCTCTGGATGAAGCACTGCAGCTGACTGAAAGAAATCTATATTTTACTGCACATAAATGGTGCCTCTCTACAGTAGACAGTTACCAGTTCGAGGAAAGGCTGCATCATTCCGTCCACGGCGTCCTCGGTTATAACGACAGTGCCACCTTCCAAACCGATGCCCCCACACGTGCCGATGCGGAAGAATATCGGGTCCCGCACCTTTGCATGGTACATGAGCTTGATGACTTCGTGCAGCAAGATGCCGACCGAAGGGATTCCCATCCCGTGCTATGGCACAAGGGGAAAACGCAAACTGAGATGAAGAGAGGACAAAGTACAGAACCACACAGATACAGCGCTATCGCTCCAAAATATGTGGTCATTTATTTTGAACAGGCTGTACCATGAGATGTAACCGAATAAAGCCGTTGTTTCTATGTTCAGTGTCATATGCTTACGACCACGGACCTTCCTTGCATCAAGTCGAGCTCAACTACAACGCGGAATTCTCTCCTATCCCTCTAAGATTCATTTTATTATTGTCCACCCACCTACGCCTTGGTCTTCCCAGTGGTCTCTTTCCTTCTGGCTTTCCCACCAATATCCTATATGTATTCCTCTTCTCCCCTATTCGTGCCACATGCCCTGCCCACCTCATCCTCCTTGACTTGATCATTCAAATTATACTTGGAGAAGAGTTCAAGTTATGAAGCTCGTCAGTATGCAGTTTTCTCCAACCTCCTGTCACTTCATCCCTCTTCGCTCCAAATATTCTCAACACCCTGTTCTCAAACACCCTCAGTCTATGTTCCTCCCTTAATGTCAGAGACCAAGTTTCTCACCCATACAGAACCACAGGCTAAATTATAGTTTTGTCTATTCTAATTTTTATGTTTTTGGACAGCAGACGAGAAGACAGAAGGTTCTCGACTGAATGGTAGCAAGTGTTACCTCAGTTCAATCTCTTAATTTCCTCCTGAATCAGGTTTTGATTTGTTATCGTCGTTCCCAAATATCTGAACTGCGCCACATTTTCAAAACATGTTTCCTATCGCTATGTCTTGATTTTACCACGCATTTTGGTGACGAGACAGTAACATTTACTTAGTTTTCTCTGTGTTTACTTCTAGACTAACCTCCTTACTAGCGTCAATTCAAGTTTGTGTGTTTTTCTTTATGGTATCTACATTATCACCCAGTAGATTCACATCATCGGCGTAGATCAAACCGTAATTGTGTAGGCTGGCTAAATATTAAAGCTGTGCCCAGACCCCCAGAAACGCCACTGCCCTGAGAGAGGGAACAGAGACTTACGCTGATGGATAGAACGGGCCCCACTTTGTACATGGAGTAGCGGTAGGAGTACTGGCTGATGTCCTGTAGCATTGTTCCGGCCGGCAGCTTGTGTCCGATTTCCTCCATGATGTAGTAAGCAAACTGCTCCATGCGTTTAGGGGTCCCGCCCATGCACACGAACTGCAACATCACGACCATATGAAGACCCGCATAATACAGTACCATTACATATACAAGTTCTGGGAAGAACTGATAGCCTACATTCCTTTGATACGACACGGACCGCATAGAACACGACGCTTCCAACAATTCTTCTTTGCCGCGGGAAAGTGTTTACTGAGTCGTTGCCTAGCAACGATAAGGGGATACAGAGACAGCTCCACAGACTCTCCACTGATACTACACGGACCGCATAGGAAAAGTCACGTTCATTTTTTCTGTTGTTGCATGTATTCGTTACCGCGGGAACGTGTTTACCGAGCCGTTGCCTAGTATCGAATGGAGGGCTACATTACCCGAACCGTTGCCTTGAAACGACAGGAGAGATACACATACTGTGGGAAGGGGGTTTTGAAGTTCTCCGCTGTAATGGGCTCGGGTGCTGTGATACGCATACCAAGTTTCATAAAGATTGGTTCAGGCATTCAAAGGTTAGTAGGTGGTCGGAAGTCGCAGACACACACAAAAATGATTTCGTGAGCCTACTTTTATTTTTTCAACACAAGCAATATACGAGTATGAAATGTGCCACAAAAATTAACGCAATGGTTACCCAGAAGCTCTTGAACTTGTTTCTCGTGCCATTGCACCCCTGTTCTTAGCAAATGAGAACCTATTTCTCTGTGCGGAAGTCGCTGATTTATCCCCCTTTGCAGAAATTAAAGACCACGAATATGCAAAAGCACGTACCACCGAAGGCAAAACTGATTACAAAGGAAAACCTCGAATACTTGGCAAGTGACTATTCAATCCTGATCAGAGACCTTCGGAATAACAGGGACGTTTCTGGACGGTGTCTTATAATGTAGGTTAGGAATCTACCACCCAGATTTCATTCAATTAAGGATTTGTATCACCTTTCCAACTTTATATCACAAATCAGATTGGAATATACCCAGAGTTATAATCAATTAAGCGGCTCTGGCAGCATAAAGGAATGCAGGACGCTGCTGGTAGTAGATTCTGCCACTTGTCACTTCCATGGGCAAGCAGCATTTAAGTCCCATTCTTCCTACTTATTGACCGCCTCTGTGGTCTAGTGATCAGAATTCCGGGCTACAGATCCAGAGATCCCTGGTTCGATTCCCGGAGCCTCTACTTTTCCATTCAAGTAGCTCGTCAGTTATCCTCACGAGGTTGAGTGGACCCACTACTTCTCAGAAAATCTGGTAGCGCCGTGAACCGAACCAGGACCTCTGGATCTGTAGCCACGAACTCTTACCACTAGACCACAGAGCGGTCAACCCACATATATCAAAAGACATGGACTGGAATTTGTTTAACTTGACTTCTCCATTCATCTTCAAGGCGTGGTGCTTACACACAGTGATGTACTCACTTTAGACAGAACTGTTAATTAGACTGGCTACGGGCTGGAGGACCGAGGAGTCGGAGTTGGCGTTCGTATGGGGTCAATAATTTTCTATTCTCCACGTCGTCCAGACCAGCTCTGGGGTCCACCCAACCCCCTATCAATTGGGTACCGGAGGCTATTTCCCCGGGAGTAAAGCTACCGGAGCGTGAGGCTGACTACCTCCAACTAATGCTGAGATCAAGAAAATTTGGATCTATACATCCACTCCCTTATACACCTTCATGGCGCAGTGCTTAAGCAGTTAAGCACAGGGACAAATTTACCTTTTTTTTACCTTTTACTGTTAATTAGTATGGTAAATGGTGTCATTCACTGCCTGAAATTGGAGTCAGATAAACTACAGAAGTTGATGCTTCCAGGAAGGCGAAAGGTGGAACTGCTGTTTAGAAAAAGCAGTGTAAATAAGAGATTGAAGGAAGAAGACTGGCAGAACTGTATGAAGTAGAGATTAGGCTGGTAAAAGTAAAGTTGCGCCTGTGCTTAATTAGTTAAGCACTATGCCATGACGACGTATGTGGGATTGGATTTGTAGCTTCACCTTTCTTGATATCTGTACTAGATGGAGGTAAGTGGTCAGCTACACGCCCCTGCCACTTTAGACTTGTGGGAAGAGCCTCCCGTGTAGGGGGCTGGGTGGGCCTCAGGTTCGGTCTGGACGCTGTTGGTAAGAGAAAACCATATGCTGCCGGCAATCGAACCCGGGCCGTGCAGCGCAGAATTTAGGATGGCGTAAGTATATTTCTTGGCATACTTGGTATATTTGTTGAACGACGCTTTATTGGCTGAATAATTATTAAGCCTTGGGTGATAAAATATTTTAGGAAATGGATGCTGCAGTGCCCTATTCAACGTAAACGTTTTATCTCAGCATTTTCCTTAAGGGACTGAGGAAAATCGCAAAGCATTTAGTGCCCGTATCAAAATTCGAACTTAGGTCTAAACTAATATGAAGCAACAATACTAAGCACCACATCATGAAGATAGATGTATTTTGGAAGCGTGATATGTTGATATCTGCAAGAAATCTCGTACATAGCCTATATGAAATGTACGCCCAAGCGCAAGGAAACAAGCTTTTATTTTTCTGATGAAATTGGGAAGATTATAATGGAAACTACAAAAGGGAAACAAACAGTACAATAAGAAAATAAAGTCAGTGGCCCTGCAGAGAAACTGATTTGTAGGTGTACAGTAAATTATCTTGCCGTATGTGTCAGCTTATCCATAGCGTTCCGCTGCCAGCTGATGTTGCGCAGCGAAGCGTTACCTACGTATGCGAACTGTATCTAAGCACTATAAAGATGCTTGTTTTGAGGAAAAGAATTGCATTCTTTAACATCTTGTCCGGGAGGTCAAAGAAAATATGCAGTTACTTCACCCTCAGATAATTTGGCTGTGTAGTAAAGAGCAGGGTACTTGAACTCACAGACTTCCTGACTTCCTGCATTTTCTCATGGCATCATCTCAACAACTGAAAATTCTCCACCTGATAAAATAAGAAATGGACATTCATGTTGAGCGAGCCATGATCCTGGTCTGAAATAGTAACTTGGCCGTTTTGTACCGTTTTCAACGATGAATCATTTGAGGTGCGTTTCGAAAAAGAACTCGTAAATCACTTAATAATTTTAGCCTCTTCTTTTATCTGCCCGAAAATAATGGCGCCCAAACTACCCTACCGATTTCGATTAAACTCGGAAAGGCTAACCTATAAAATTTTTAGGCATGGAATTTTGATTTTATTATATTTTGATTCAGCTTAAAGAGTATTTATATTTATAGGCTTATGTAACTCACATATGTAATAATATATTGTAACAGACTTGATCAACGAGTTATCAGGCAACAGCTCTGTAGACACGGTCCAACACGCAACAATGGATAAGGCTGTGTTTTCTATTGTATGTTGTCCGCACCAAGCAGTTTGGAACTGTGGGGTTATGCAACCCGTCTCTAATCAAGGGCTCGGTAATCCCTCTTCCGCGTAGGCAGTGACATCACAAAATGGACAGAGACCACGTGACGCGTTTTCTGTATGTCCGCCCCGAAAGCATTTGGGGGACAGCTAAGGTCGTTTGCGGGTAGTCGTAATCTGGAGGAGTGAGCAATTGACGGACTTCACTTGAGTTCCGAAGTTCCGCGGGAACAGCAGTGTGGTCAAAAGAAGAATTAGAAGACTTAGTGTGTGACGTTACATGTGCTGTAGTACATCGATAATGGGAGCGTTGCTGTTAGAAGCTGATAGCTGAGACATGGGGGAGTTCGAGAACCTAGAGTAAGGGGAAACGTCCGCCGTTGAAGTTGCTATCGAGCAACGGCTAGTGAAGACCGTGGCTGGGAACACTAGTCTGTGTGTTATAGTGATTTGTATAAAGTGCAATCATAAGTTGTATGTCCCATAAATCTAATTACCAATCCAATTCCCGTCTATAGTCACTCATATACGTGACAATATGTAGGTCTTTTTGTACGGTGTCCATTGTTTTTTTCCACCTTTTAAAGAGGGTGGAATTTGTTGACAAAATTTAGTAGAACTCCGCATTACAAAATGTCATGAATTCCGCTCAACAGTTCTCCTGTTGTTACATGCAGACAGCCACAAAAACAGACAGACTGACTGACAGGCATGGCGACGATATTAGGGTCATTTTTAGAACGTTTGTTTGCGAAACCACGAAACACTGGAAAAATACGTGCCCGGTCAATAAGACTCAAGTGATTTTCGTAAATAAGAGGTTGTATTCTACTAAAAATGAGACAGTATAGCATTCTCTGCATTCTATCCATAAAGTGAACGTATAATGTGGAGAAAATGTCCGTCCGCAAGATTCAGCCTTGCATCAAGAGTTCAGACTTTTCGAGACTATAATATTTCTGTGTAAAATACTGTGACATGTTGACCCCTACCTCCCCAGCTGCACGTAGCGGTAGCGTAGCGCTCGCGTAATAGGCGAGTAATCACCCCGCATCCTGGTAGCTATGCAACGCGCATTGACGTGACGAGCGGAGCCGAAGTGAGCCGAGCGGAGCCGACGTTAGCCGAGTCCCCGCGACCTTGAAGCTATGCAAAGCGAATCAACAGCGGTGATGTCACCGAGGTATATCGCGGTTGCTAGGCAGCAGTCAACAACTCCGGACAGCGTGGCTAGCAACACGGACCAGACGACAATTGTCCGATCAAGGCTACATAAGGAGCAGCGAAGGCTATTCACAGTCAGTTGTACTGTGACAGTCAGCCAGTCAGTGCGTTACCAACGAGTTCTCAGTTCGCAAGTTACGAGCTACAGACGCGTGTGTGATAACCAGTGATAACCAGTTATACTTGGAGTGTGTAATTCAGGGAGACTTGTATTGCTCCCGCGTTATTAATACGTGAAGACTCTTGAAGATAGTGTTAAGAGATTTTGTTGTAGGGTTTGTAAAGAGTGGAAACCCGTAACATTGTTATAATTAATTGTAGCCGATAGTTGTAGATTGTTTAATAAACCAATTAACGATCTCTACGGCGTCTTCAGTAACGTAAACACGTTACAATACGTTTATATAAAATATAGTGGAAACTTTTTCTCTTCTTGAAAGCCTTGATGTAGTTTCTTTGGAAGTTGATGTACTTCCCACATTTACTGGGTCCAAGAAATCTGAAGTTGAGGTTCGCTCCATAGGGTATTATTTTGAAAAGTTAAGGAAGCAAACACTTCACGTAACTTACAAGAGGCAAGAAATTTTCAGAATGATTTCAAATTTTCTTCACCATCAACATTCTGCTTTGTTGGATTATCCTTCGACTCCGAGTAGGGGGGCAGAATGTTCCTCCGAAACGTCCATAAAAATTATCAGACTACATTGCGTCACCTCCCAAAAGACTTTTACCAGAAATATACATTTTAAATATTCTGAAATTATTACTTGTTGCTAAACGCTTTGTTGCCTACTTATTGTTGCTGTTATTCACATGGGGTGCATCCAGTTTATTCTGAGAGGCCGATTCATCAGGTTACAAGTGACAGAGTCACTGCCAGTTTACCTTCACATCGCCGAACATGCTGACCAGATCATGTGACTCGCTGCCTAGTGCCAGGTGGTACAAAATATCCTGGTCCATCAGCTCTATGTTCGGGTTCCGTAGCTTGACGGTGCCATCGGGGTACCTGCACATACAGAGTGCCACACGTTAAAGACATTTAGGTTCAGCAAGGTTCTGAAAACATGACATGTTCAGGATCGTTCGTGACTGTGTCGCATTAACTGCTGATGGTACGCATGATCGTGAGGGAATAATTGAGGAGCAGGCTTGAATGAACGTAAAATTGAGTGACATTGTACGGTGTCGAGGCACTATGCTAGAAGCCCAGAAGGTAGCGGGTTCGGTTCCCAGTGGGGTCATTGGCTTTTTCAATTGACCTAATCCTTCCAGCCGAACTATGGCTCTGGGGTCGACTCAGCCTCTAACAAAAATTAGTAACAAGAATTTTCCTGGGTCTCAAGAGGGGCCGGAGCGTAAGGCTGACAACCTTACCACCATCTGTGAGCCGATTGTCTAGAAATGCGGGGGCCTCAACGTCTTGTAACTTATGGGCCTCCACGGCCTGTTGCAAGGAAAGCTTTAGCTTTGTGTACGATTGTCTCGTGAACGTATAACAACTATTTTTATTCGGTGGTTTTTCTGAGACCATAATTTGTTTTCTGCAGTCCAATGTATTTTAGTAAGGTCTAGTTTGTGAAGTGACAATGTTGGAGAAAATTGCATAAAGTATAATTAGAATGAGTAAGTCAAGGAGAAGAAGAAGAAGAAGAAGAAGAAGAAGCAAAGAAGATAATGGGCATAAGGAACTGGAAGAGAGCAGCGCAGGATAGAGAGGAATGGAGTGGCTTGATAAGGGAGGCCAAGGCCCGACATCGGGCTGTTGCGCCATAGAAGAAGAAGAAGAAGTCAAGGAGAATGAGAGGGTAGGGCATGTAGCACGAGTGGTGATAAAAGGAATGCATATAGGATATTGGTGGAAAAGCCAGAAGGAAAGAGACTACTGGGAAGAACTAGATGTAGGTGGGAAAATAATGCGGTGGATCTTAGAGAAATAGGAAGGAGTGATATAGACTGGGTTAATCTCGCTCAGGATTGGGATCAATGGAGAACTCTTGTGAATACGGTAATGAACCTTCAGGTTCCGTAAAATATTGGGAAATTGAGTAGCTGCACAGTTGACGGCTTCTGAAGAAAGGCTCATCTCTGTGGAATTAATTAGTTAGTTAGCCTTTATGACAAAAAACGCGCACACAAACTGGACCACATGCAGCCGTACTCATCACCAGTATTAAACACGGCCACAGAGCTTCACGTTCATCGGTAAATATAGTTATACAGAGGGTGTGACAATTAAGGTCTAAACTAAGGACATAAGAAATCACACACAAAATGATAAATAGTACTCATTAATACCATCCCCGCCCGCTACCGTACAGCGTTTACATCGCTCTCGCAACGAAACGAATGCCCGACAACACGCTTCTTACCGGATCGCCTTCAGTTTTCGTGTCGAGGCTTCTGGATCGATGAAACAGCCTCGAATATCGTCGCAGCTTTTAATTTTGGAAATAAAACAAAGTCAGTCGGTGATAAATCAAGGGAGTTGTGTGGGATAACAAGGGGATCCCTCGCTTCGTCAAAAACTCCGAGACAACGACGGAAGGATGCGCCGGTGTATTGTCGTGCAGAAGATACCAGGACCAACTTTTCTAGGCCAATTTTGTATATAAATGAAACGTTTCCCAAAATAAAAATAGTGTCAGTTTGGGAACTTAATTATCACACTATATATGATTTATTATATTGAACAATAAGGTAGTGCCTATATATATGATAAAAGAAAACCTAGTATAAAATTCGTAGACACCAATAGAAAGCAAGCACAAGACAGCCCCAAGCAGCACAGCAAAACAATGTGGTCAACTCCAGCACGTTAATGTAACCTACACCCTTATATTCTGACATAAGTCTAACTTCAAGGGAATTCACACCCAAGACATTTTAAGGTTTTACATGTATGAATTGCAAAGTTTTATTTTAATAAGAGTAATACTTGGGCAATAAGCAAGACGTACTTGGATGGTAACTTACTTTTGATTTCATAGGTATGGAATGTTATATGGCTAAATTTGGAACACTGTCTTGACATTTTTCTGAGGGACTGAGAAAACGACGGAAAACCTCGGAATATACGATATCCGGCCCAAATTTGAACTCGGAACCTACAAAATATGAAACAGTAATAAGACCTAATCTATTCTGGTGTTCGAAGACGTTTTAAATTTTTCTGAATAAAATTGCTTGTCGAGAGAGCGTAATAAAGACGCAGGCTTGTACTACAGCTGGGTGTTTCTTTAGCCATAGCTCAAGCGGTTAGTCGCTGGCTTCCCACCACGGCGGCCCGGGTTCGATCCCGGATCTGGTCAAGTGGGATTTGTGGTGGACAAAGTGGCGCTGGGGCAGGTTTTCTCCTAATACTTCGGTTTCCCCTGCCAATCTTCATTCCACCAATTGCTCTACAGTCACCCTCACCTATCATCTGGGGCTGGCATAATAGGCCAGAAGTGGCCGCAGTACAAGGGACTTAGTCCCACCACACCGGCGCCATTAGAACCGTTAGGGTTGAGACAGTAAAGCAGACCGTCTGTAGCGAACTGAAGGCATTTGCCCCAGAAGAATATGGAAGTAGAGCGAAGTTGATTCTGGGCATAACATTAAGCGTAATATACGAAGAGCAAGGGAAGCAGAAGTATGGGTCCATGGATTGACCTTCCTCCAGCCACTTCACTTTCCCCGCCTACTCTCCGCCGCCCATGGTGTAAGAATCCCCCGTACCCATTGGATAGGAAGCTGGGAAGCTTGTTAGGCTGAAAACCCACTGACGCGACTAGTCGCGAGCGGCTAGCCGCTCTTTGTTCATTCCTTAGGCCGCGCGGCCACTGTGATCAGCCAATTTATTATTCACTATCATCAAATAAGTTGACGATATACAATTTTGAATTATTTACAGCGTCATTAAATGTAGTGTCACGTGTAGGGGGGACGAGATGACGGGTTCATAGTTCGGATGATCAGATTTATTAGCATTCTGGTTCACTCTCTCTTAATTACACTTAAATACAGCGCTATCGCTGATATACATACACCTCATAATCCACTGTTGCACGCACACACTAGTCCTCTCCGGGTAACGTACCTCAACACAGAAATCAGTTCTTCAATCACCCTTTAAATCTCCGCAGGTCTTCTATAAACTTATCGTTGCTGTCACTCTTACTGTCACTCAGACACACTCAAACACTCCTCATCTGTTCTGTTTCTGTCTTATATAGCCTCCACAATGGCCACGCAGAAAACAGCCTATATTGGTGGAAAGGTTTTACCGAGCGATCGCATAGCAACGGCAATGGCGCCGACCGCATAGAAAACGCCGCATTCCCATTGCTGTCTTGCGTGTATTCGGTCGCGAGGCGTTTAATTGTCAGTTACCTAGCAACGCTGTGGCCACCCACATTACACTACTATAGATAAATAGATAAATAAATATTACTTGTAGATTATGCACCCTGGTGCAACTGACCCATAGTGTACCTGTTATTTACTGGGTTGGTTATCCTGGAGTAGTGCGCTGTTCCTGTTACCGAACGGAACGGAGATAAAAATATCAAGTTGTTGCCTGATAGGTGTCGGGTTGGCGCAATAAGTATAGGGACTAGCTACGGGCTGGACGGCCGAGGGACTGGGTATTGAATCCCTCAAGGGGTAGGATTTTTCTCCTCTCCATGTCCTCCAGAATGGCATTGGGACCCACCCAACTTCCTTTCCAATGCGTAACGAGGGCTCCTTCCCCGCGGGTAAAGCGGGCGGAGCGTTAAGCCCACCACTCACTTCCAGCTAGTGCCGTAGTCAAGAATACGTGGCTCTACACGCATACTTCCACTCCCTCAAAGGTCTTCATGGCGTAGTGCTTAGTCAGCTCAGCTGGAGTGATAATTTGACGAAAATGCCTATAGAATTTTAGTCAGAAAATCCGAACGGATGAGACCATTTGCAAGAGCAAATTGTAGTCAGGAAATAACATTAAACAGTCCTAAAATACATGGAGCTTATATTGAAATCAACTGGCTCACGATAGGACTAAGTGGCTGGCTGTCGTGAACGAGGGAATGGGCTTTTGGATTTTGTAGAAGTCCGGGGGAATTCATTACTATTTGAGAGCGTATTATCTTCCGAATGCGGACTTTGCTGTATGGTGTTGAAAGCGAATGTATGCAGATGCCCACAGATACATGACGTAGATGATGTTTCATAAGGAAAGAAATATACTGAACGAGAAAGATATTGACAGGTAATTTCAAGATAGGCTTGATCGCCTACTTACCTCGTTTCATTGGCTTGATGGCGGTGTTCACTCTCCACCTGTAGACCATTTGCACCATTGGAGTTACAAACATTCCACCTCGAGTTGGGGCAGTTACAAGACATTGTGGTCTATTCACGGTAATGCTGTCAGATTTTTAAGAAGACGACGTACTGAAATATTCGAATGATACTGAATTGTCAGAATCAGAGTCATAGTTACTTTGCACTTGGCAGTTGATATCAACTCGGAGCGAACCGTATATAAAATGCTTGCTCTATGTATTTTCTATTGTTGCGTGTCTATTTTTCAACAATTATTCCATTGACATGCTAGTATTTATTGCAGCGGGAACGTGTTTAAGGGACCGTTGCTTAGCAATTACGTCTATTCTGAAACTATTCAAGCTTTCAGCTGGCATATCAGAACATCTAAACATTGATAGACAACCAGCGTCTATTGCTAGTCAACAGCAAGCAATTCCTAGGCAACGAATAGGCCCGCTGACAAGTACTCTAGCTAACACGGGAAACAGAACCCTTCGACAAGATGTTCTCTCAGCGGTACGCGAAGAGCTACGTAAGAGGGTAAACTGTGACACGACAGTTCAGATCCGACGAGAGATAGGAGAAGAACCAAGAGTGGGGAGACTCCAGCGAGAATACCGGTGCAAGAGGATAACCGTTGAAGAGGAAACGCAGAGAGACGACGGACTAATCAGGTCGCTTCGTTTGAAATGACGTTATTTGAGAGTGATTGTAATT